CTTATCCATGCATGATTTGGCAACAGTACNCACTATTGTATGCATTCCGATAATTTATTTCATCATCAGACGTATATTAAATATTTTTCAATATTATTATTAAATTGTATTAAATATATTGAACATTAAATAGAATAATTAAAAGTTGCATTCTCATAATAAATACTTACTCAAACCACAATTACCACCTCCATATCTCACTCCAATTCCATTCTGAGCACAAGTCTCACCAACTTGTGTTGCAGCACTAAAATACTTTTCATCCAATTTACTACTCGAAGCACAATAAACAACAAAGGAAAGTTTTGGCTTTTCTGCAGCAACAGTTGAAGCAGAACAATCAGAAGAGCATGTTGAATTGGTTGGTTGGCTAGACATTTTTTTCTATGCGTTGTTGTTGTGTATTTGATTCAACAACGACAATGCAGATTCTGAAAATGCATTTTGCTTGTGAATTGTGAGAATGGGCTGTTTGGGAAGTGATGTTGCATTGTGAGAATGGAAATATTGTTGTTGAGGGTTGCATTTTGATTGGTTCAAAAATGGTGATGAGGTGATGTTGCATGATGAATGGCGAGGTTCGGAAATGATGAGCAAGAGGAATTGGATGAAGGAAAGTTGAGGAATGGATGATGAATGGGTAGGTGTTTGAATAATCTTGTCGGTTTGGAGAATGGCTGAGCAATTGTTGTGAATTTCGATAATGTTTGAGTATGGCCATATTTGGAGGTGAGAAAATGTATTTATTTGGAAGGTGAAATTGTTTTGTACAATTTTTCAATTCGTATTGAGAATTTGGAAATTTATTAGTCCTATGAAAGAAATTAGTGAATCAATAAGTTAACTCGGTACGAAAATGCAAGAATACAGAAAATTATATATTAAGGAATAGATCGCGGGAAGTCTTTGAAAAAATGGGCCAGAAATTTTTTTTTCCAAGTCCAAAATACCAGCCATTGGATACCAGTTCGACTTTGCCAAAATTTCTTGGTATCTGAAAATTTTTACAAGTCGGTAATCTTGCTCACAAGCAAAGATAGAACACCAATATTGACTCTATTCCTTCTCTTGAATACTCTGCGAGTAATGAGGTAACATTTCATGCAGGAAACCAACACAAATATATTGAACAAGTCTTTTATTGTGAAAATTTGGGAACTCAACAGAATACCAACAATAATCCAATCAAGAACTGATGCCAAACTCCAACAACAAAAACAGAGCCAATATTGGTAACAGCAACCATTCATTCTTGAGCCTTCCGCAAATATAATTACTATTATTTCTTGTTGTTGTTGGTGTATTAGCATTAGCCAAACACCATATTGTTGTTCATCAATTCTACTAAAATTAGTACTAATGATGATACTATTCCACGTTATGCAAAATAAAGCCAGTTTTCTCGATGGGTAAAACTATGTAGTTTCACTGCATTGTTATGTTTGGCTGATAATATTTTTTTGAATATTTTTCAAAGTTGACACTCAACTTGCAAATTTTCTTCTGGTCCAGCGGATCGACGAATTTATATCAACCTCCCGCGATCTATTAAGGAAATTTAACATTGCTTAATTTTTAAATTGAAAGGTGGTGTGGTTACCGACAGTTTGGTGTTAACAAGTTTGCATTGTTTCAATCAAACTCTGTCAGCAATCAACGAATGTCATTTACAGAGATTCAACGATCAACAATCAATTGTGTACATTATTAATAGATTATCAGATTGATCTTTTTTTGCAAATTGGTAAGCATGATCAAAATATTCACTCCAAAAAAGGTAACTGCATGAAAGTTTGGTTGAATGATAAAAGAAAAATTCTTAAACGAAACAATTTTCAATAAGAAAAAAATGTCTCGTTCATCAGTTTCTAGTGTTCCAGCCTTCCTTCAATCCTCAACTAACCGTTCCTATGAAGATAAGAAAGTTTACGTTCAGGATGTTTCGAATTTCACTGCAAAATTATTCGACAATTCACAATTTTCAGATTTTCAAATTGTTCTTACAAAATTACAACAAACTCTTTCAGTTTACAAAGGCATTCTATCCATAAATTCTGAATTCTTCCAAACACTCTTCTCCTCCAACAATTTTTCAGAGAATTTATGTGGTCAACTGATCCTTGATGATTTATTCGAAGAAACAGCACTTTACAAAATTGTAAAAAGCTTTTACACTGGTAGTTTAGAATACTCACTCGATGAAGAAGGTCTCTCCCTCCTAATTTTCTCACAAAAATACATGATTCAAGGTTCATTAGCTTCACATTTGAAGCATGAAATTCAAATGAACATTTCACCTCAGAATTGTTTTAAACTTTTTGGACAATTGATCAAAGTTTACGATGGAAGTTTTATCAATGATGTGTACAGTGGTGTAGATAGAGGAGTTGTGGATA